AAAAAAAAAAAAAAAAAGACTATGGCAATACAATTGCTTGCCCAAGCATGGTGTTCCCCTTCATCCTCCTGGCTTCTGGTGGCTTCTGTGCTCTGCACATTGGTGGTATGGATTAGTTGGCTGCAGTCTATCTCTCTCATTTTATATCACGTACATTCGAAAGTTATATGGAGTTTTGATTTTTATGGTGACTCCCTGAGGTCTACCTTATTTACCCTATATTAAAAAACACTCTCTCTCTCTCTCTCTCTCTCTCTATATATATATATATATATATATATATATATATATATATATATATATATATATATCACCCACAGTTTACTTTTTTATGCCTTACAGAATTTATATTTATACTAATATGTAATTTCCCTATTTATTAGATTTAGTGTTTATTGTTTGTTCCCTCCTTTGCCCAACTAGAATGTAAACTCAAGAGTATGAGGACCTTTGTTTTGTTCACTGCAACATCCTAAACATTTAGCACTGAGGTAGTGAGCGATTAGTAAACAGAGAATGAATGCTTCTCATTAAAATCAAACTTTGATCAAGTCCGATTAGAAAGCAATCCACATTGCTGGTTTTAGAACTAGATACATTCGCTTTTAAAGTTTTTTTTTCCCCTCAAATTTTGAAATGAGTAGATATAGTGTAAAAATCGTCCATGCCTTACCTTGAAAGCCATTTTTAAAATCCGCTCCATTCAGTAAGAGAACTGGAGTGTATTCACTGTAGCCACCTACATAAAACTGACTGAAGACATTGAGACCAACCAGTTTTCCTGGGGAGATGATGGATTTATTTTTATGATCATCTACCTTCAAGAAAAAGAAATTCAAAACTTATTAAAAAAGGAATTAATTCCCCTGGGTGAACTGTTAAGATACTCTTTTTATTTCCCATTAACTTGGCATGAAAAATTTATAAAGACCTGAATTTTGAAGAAATACAAAACACTTCACAACTCAGCTGTCTGCTTCTCTGCTGGTGTCTGTTACCACGGATATATTAATATAGCAGTCATGGTTTTGCATTTCAATCAAAATCAGTTTTTCAAAGATTAGGAGCTGGCATCCTGCTGGCCCTCCTCCATCTAGCCTGGCCTCCCTCTCCCCATCCATTCTCAATAGTTGTATTGAGTCATTTATCAAAAAATAGAAATCAGCCATGATACCCAACCCCCTCTTCTTAAATTTCTCAGTAGTTCTCCTCCATAGCTCCCTGGATAAAAATCTGAACTTCTTAGCATGACATCTAAGTCCTTTGATGGCATAGACCTTGTCTCCCTCTAAACACATCTCTGGCTTCCCTTCACCCGAAAGCCACACTGACCTATTATATTTGCATTCCTTAAGACCATAGCTTTCTTTTTCTGAACTTCTATTTATTGGCAGTTATGCTGAAGCATCGCTTTTTTGGAGAAGCATTTCCTGAACCCTCTTTCTCACCTTATTTTTGTTAGTCAGTCCCCTTATGTATCCCCGTACCGCTTAATTGCAATCATCCCTCTAAGCCCTCCATTTTGCACACTAGTCTGTGAACTTGGTGGGGGCAGGCGGCATGGCCTATCAACTCTGGACCTCTGCACGAATCCGACAATAGAGCAGTACTCGGAAGTCTGTGGGGCAGATGAAGGGATGACTCCTTACCTTCAGCCAGCCCATTTGGAAGAGCCTCCCCAGATGGACGGTGTGGATCTCAAGGCTCAGATCCAGAGGGTCACTGGTGATACTTGCAATGCCAGACCCCAGGTTGTAACTGTACACCACGCTGCCATTGCGCAAGCCCACTGCCAGGAAGTCGTCGCCGTTCACCCCTGGAATGAGAAGGTGCATGCTCACTGACAGGAAACTTGGGAGCCCCGTCAGCTTCGTTTCACTGTCTGCTCCTGAGTTACAGACCAGCACACTAAGTTATAACAGACATCCAGCCTCTCATCAGCACTCAGGTATGTGTGTAATTGGGGACTATTATTCACATCCACAGAAACTGAGCTCTATGAGTTTTTCTTTGAAACCATGAGGGTTCTGGTCAACCCGGGGAAATGATTAATACCTACAAAGTTGGAATTAAAAGCTCGTTTTTTCTTGCTTGAATGAAATTCAGTGTGTTCTTTACAATAAGTAGAACTTTACAATGGCGTAGAACTCCTCTGGTAGTTAACGAGATTCAAACGATTTAGATAACCCTGCATGGGCTTTGAAGTCCTCTCTATGATTTGAGAAGAGTATAGAGAAGATTTATTTCTATAGTTGCTCAGGGTATGTTATCCTTGATCTATTACAAAAGCTCTTGGCCAGTCCCTCCTGACTAGTTAAAGGTGGTTGTTTCTGTGTTTCCTCTTCTTTAGCTCCTTCCATTAGCCCAGGGCCACCCACGCAGCACAGCAAATTGCAGGGCCCCAAGCACTCAGGAAACAGCTAATACAGAGCTATGAGAAAAGGACAGGTGGCTGGGAAAGACCTAGCACCAGGCACTGAGGGAATGTCTTGGAGTGGGTTTGGTGGCACTAAGACTGTCTGGGATTGAAGGTGATGTAAGATCTGGCATGTGGGCAGGATATACTTAGGTCAAGGCAGAGCTAGAGCTAGGGGGAGGCAAGAGGCATATCAACAGGGAGGGGGGACCCCCAAACATCACCCAGTTTCTAAAAGCTGTGTTTGTGGAGCTTAACACTGAGGCTTGCAGGTAGGGAACTGAGGCAAGGGCTTCTGCTTGGAAGAAGAATGAAGGAGCCCACAGAAGTAAGAGGTTTAATCATTGGGCAAACAGCAGAAATGAGCCCTTGGACATGGACAAAATTTGTTATCATGCACAGCCTCCCTTCCTGCACTTCTAAGAGTGACTCCCTTGGCTTCTGTTGTTAGGCTGATCAAGGTAAAGGAGAAAAAGATCTGCAGAGATGGGACTTCCAGATAGTGTAGGGAGGTGGGCTTCCTAAAGCACTGGAGAGCAGAAAACAGATATATTATTTAGAGTTGCTTGAATTCTGTCTCTGTCATTCTAATGGCTCTGCCATGGGCCCTTTGTTGGGTTGTTTTGGAAGCTTCTTCAGTGAGTTCAACAGGCAGCTATGGTGAGAGCCACTGTATTAAATGCCATACCAATGACTAAGCATGTATAGCAAACGTCTCTCTCTCTCTGGTGATTTCTTCCCACCTGCAATGTTGCAGCAGGTTAGCCGGATTGTTTATTGAAAATATAAAAAACTCCCAGGAGAAAACACAGATTCAGAAAGGCAGTTGGGCAGAAAGAGAAAAACCACCACTGGAGATGGGAGACAGTCTCTCAGGCAGCTGTTGAGATATAGAAGTCATAGGGAGAAAGAGCTGGAGAGGGAGAATTGCGAGATTTTTTTTCTGAGGGTTGTGAATGGGGATCTTTTTGAGACAATCTAGTGGGCATTATGAATTGTCTTTCAAATTGTCTAGGATGGTTGGAATGGAGACAGTATCTGCCGACTGAACTGTAAGGCGGTGGGAGAGCAGATTTATTTGAGCTGTACCCTTCCTTCCTATCTACCTTGTTGCCATCCCTTCTCCCTCCAGTTCCTGAGAGCCTGTTTCATGCCAGGAACAACATTATCTTCAAGGTTCTCACAGCCTGGTTGGGAGGAGACGGGAAGTTTTTCTCAATGCCATGGGGAGCAGAGAAGTGGTAGGCAGGGGCGGTTCTTAAGATGGAGTGAGGAGAGGGTTAGGAAATTCAAAAGGAGGTGATGTTTGAATTGGCTTCTTAGCTAACCCATTTAACCACAAACCAAAAAAGAATTCGATAGGTAGATGAGGAAAGGGGAAGTGCTGAAGGGGGCTGTTCAAAGCAGAGGGAAATACACTGCAAAAACTCAGTAGGAGCAGAGAACGTGGGGTACTTATAGAACTGGTGTAATCTAGGTCGAGCTGCCATTCCGTGTGTGGTGGAAAGAGCTCTACCTTTAAGGGCCTAATATGCCACAATAAAAGATTTAAATATTAATATTTTGCTGGAGACTCTCAGGAGCCATGAAAGGATTTTGAATAAGAGAATTATGTTAGGTGTGGATTTTAGAAGGATCTCATAGCACTGTTGAGGGCAGAACATAGAGACAGATGAGGAGTCTCACTGGAAGGTCACTCATGTGACTCAGCAAAGAGTAAGGCCTTACTAAATCAAGGCAGTGACAGAGGGGACAGAGGAAAGTGGAGGCATTTGTGCATGATTTGGAAGAACAGATCAATTTGAAGTAGAGTTGAGGAAGAGGGAGGGTTCGAAGGTGGGTTTGAAGGAGCTGGTTTAAAGAGCTGTGGAAAGCAGGGTCCGTCATGGGCTGGGTGCCTAGGACAGGAGCGATCTGGGGAAAGAGGCTGACGTCAGTGTACAGATACTCCTGCCTATGGATACGTCCCAGAGCGTAGAAGTAGGGGTGCACTGAGAGGTGGGGGAAAGGAGAACCAGGGAGCCAATCACACTATCAAGCTAAGGAGAGCATCTTATTTACAAAACAAATAAAACACAGACTCATAGATACACAGAATAAACTGATGGTTGCCTGAGGTGGGGGTGGGTTGGGAAGCTGGGTGAAAAAGGTGAAAGGATTAAGAAGTACAAACTGGTAGTTACAAAATAGTCACAAGGATGTGAAGTACAGCATGGGAATATAGTCAATGATGTGGTAATATCTATGTATAACGCCAGGTGGGTACTAGACTAGTCAAGGGGATCACTCCTTAAATTATATAAATGTCTAACTACTATGCTGTACACCTGAAACTAATATAAAATAATATTAAATGTCAACTGTAACTGAAAAAGTAAATAGATCTTTTTAAAAAAGGAGAAATCACTGAAGAAAGGAAAAATGCTTTTAGTACCTTAAATGGCATTTTTTTCCCCTCTGCTTTTTGAACAAGGGACCCTGCATTTTCATTTTGCAATGGGGCCCACATGTTATATAGTCGTCCCTGAGGGGAGCCCTTTATTACCCTTCCTAAAGCAAACCAGGAGAGAAGAGCACAATGAAAACTAGATTGACCTACGCATCTGAGGCTGTTGGGGGGCTTCGTAGGTGGATGAGACATTGACACTTTGGGGCAGGAGATCTGCCTGAGGGTTTGTGGGTGATGCTGATGCCCACATGGAGCTCCCTGGGTCCACAGCCGGTAGGTGGCGGAGGCTGCATCTGAGACAGACAGCCTAACGGCAGAGCCTGTGCTCTTAACCACTGTCTGTGGAGCCGAGAAACACAGCAGGTCTGTGACTGGTGTTGTGTCACCGCCCACTACCAGCTCTCCTGAATGCTCGCCTCCGAGGACTAAGGCGGATAATAATATCTCTTAAGAGTGTTCTAAGGATTAAGTGACAATGTGAAGGTATCAGCACAGAGCTGACCTAGCACATGCTATGCACTCAATACATGCATGTTTTATTCCTATTCCGCTCAACTATGGCCTGACCTTAGCTGTGCATGTCCCATTTTCTTCCCCTCCTTCATTAATACAAAGCCTGGGAAGCAGGTATTTCTGGCCCCTGAGTTGGAGCACACATTTGCTCCCCGTTAACTTTTGGAGTAGAATTTTTCTTTCTTTTCTTCTTAAAACTATAGCCCTGCTTGATTCAATGCATTACTCTGATCCAACTAAACTAATTTGAAGGGTCAACCATGCAGGTGAAGTAAAGTGACTCAAAGTCATGGTTTGTTACTATCCATTTGTATATATGTCTTAAGTCACTATCCTGTAGTTTATTGTAAAGGGAATTTCTTGGCTTCACAGGTAATAATATAAGCAACGATATACTTCAAACAACGACTGATGCTATAGACTAATTTCATTCTTAAATTTAATGTTCCATTAGAACATTATTCTATGAGTAGCTTTGAAAAATATATGGGCAATACATATTTGTATTTTTACATTTGTCAGTTTCGCAAAGCAACAGATGATATTTGGCATTTACATTTTATACAGGGATTTTTGGTGATTGACACAGTGAAAATAATTGGAACTAAGCTCATTTGGCATGCAGGACACAAATCCACAGTGACACTTAGTGAAAGCAGGCTTAGGAAGATTTTTAAAGCAAGGGATACTTCTCGGACATTACTTAGGAGCTGGTGCTAAGAAGGAAGGATTTAGAGAGATTATGTTGTGCAAGTGATAAAGGGGAGGAAGAAAACAATAGGAGATGACAGATAAATATCAGTTAAGAGTAATGAGATCTAGGCAGTGAATAAAAATCCTTTCAGAATGTACAGAAAAACAAACTTGATCTGTCTTTGGCTAGAAGGACAAGTCTTAATTCCACAAAACAGGGAGCAATTCCGTAAATACTCTTAAACAGAGAGCTTTGAAGTGGGTGTGTTTTGGTGACTCATGTTTAGCATTATAATAACTCATAATGTTGGTTAGAGGAAATCTTGTGGCGGAAAGATGAGATGCTGTGGTCAGAATAGCATCTGGTCTCATAAAAAAACCGAGAGCAATGACTTAGCAACGGAAGCAGGAACTTGGTCTTGGTGAAGAGGCGGAGGGTGGCGATGGTAAAATCATAAAACATGGTGATGATAAACACCGTGAAAGATGCTGCTATGGATATCCTAGAAGGGAAGATGAAAGAGGCTGAGACAGAGTTTCCAGACCATTCTAAGCTGTCTCAGGTGGTTCTTAGAAGTGTGTGATGCAGTAGGGGTGGGTGGGTGGTGATAGTAATGGATCCTAAATATATAAAACCTTTGGAGAAAAAAGAAAACAAAATGTTTGCATCACAAGCATGTGATCATCATTAAGTTTATGGCATTTTGTTTCCTAAATTACTGAGAAGTGTTTGCTGGATTTTTTT